TGTTCTTTTGTTTAAATGCTGTGAGCTACTCAAAGCTGCTATTTGGTTCACGCTTGTGGCACCAGGATCTGATTTACGAACAGCCTGTGTCTTGGGCCTCTGTGGAATTCGGCTCCTCGTGTTTCAACTGTGTTTTTGACTAAATCTTAGATTGTCTGATTCGGTCTGATATCCTACACATCCCCCCTTCGATCGGCGATGTGTTGAGCTGAAGACATCGGCGAGCGCTGGAGAAACAAGGCAGAAGAAGCAGACAACACAGCAAACAACAAGACACCTCCATGACAGTTACTGTACTGGTGCAGGCATCAGGTTATTTAGGTACAGGTGGTAAAGTTCAATTAGTCAAAATAGTTTAGTAAATTGAATGTTTTAGTTCAATCTGGAAATTGTTCTAATTTGGTTCCGTACGTTGATTCGTCAATCAAATTTTGTGGTTCACTTTGTTTGGTTCTTCTAGGTTGTCTTAATTTAACGTTTACCGTTAATTTTCTAGTAACATCATTTGCAATGAAATGAATTGACCTATCGTGCATGGAGCTCTCTGGCTTCCATTCAGTTTAGAATGACTGGCGGATATTAGGTGTGGTGAGTCAATCCTAATATCAGACCTTTGACCCTTGCAGGGTGTCTAGGTGTTTCACCTACTAAGGAAAGAGGGGAAGGAAAAGGATAAGTAAAAGAAGAACAAACAAAAACAAAGCTGCTGTGGGTTTTCCTAGCATGGCTTACAACTACTGTTGAGCTGAGCATGACTCAACTTTGTGGTCATCCATGTTCAGCTTTCCTTGAAGGAACTCTTTCATTTGTCTCATGACTTGTTCCATGTCGTCTGATGGTAAGCTGTCTTGTTCTTGTGCATACTCAGCACTGTGCATGTCTGAGTGGTGCTGAGGTGGGTTTTGTTGTCGCTTACCCACACGAGTTGCTCTTGGATGAGTCAGGCGATTACTTTTGGATGTCTGGTTAGGTTTCCAGTTGTTCTTATCTTTTATGTTTCTTGAGAACCGTGACTGGTCCCATGGATTTTTCCAGCGGTTGGGCTGAAAGCTGTCGTTGACATGGGGATCACGTTCTCTGTGCTCTTGACGGAGGACTCTGGTGTCGTGATGCCACTGGGTGTCGTCCAGTGCAAGGCTTGAGTCTTTGGTGACAGAGTTCAAGAGTGTGGATGTTTTGTTACCTTTCTTTGTGGCCACAACCTTCTTGTTTTAGGCCTTCTGTGTTAGGTCACGTAACTGTTGGGTGGTCATGGAGCGCGGACAGGCCATGACGCCTAGATGGTGGCTGACTCCAGGGTGCAGATTTCTTAGAAAGAGGCTTTTGAAGTTCACATCCTCTTCAAGGTCAGGTTCGTTGTGTGCACCAAAGTAGGCTTGTCGGAGTCAGCTGTAGTAAGCTTGCGGAACCTCTTGTCGACCTTGTTTGATCTCCAAGGCAGTTAACATTCCATGTTCAGACTCAGGGTCTGTAAACTCTTTAATCAGGACCTCACAAAGTAGCTGGTAGTTGGACTTTGTTTGACTGTGCTGTCGATTTAGGAAGTTTCGTACCTCAGGACTGGACGTGGCTCTAAGGAGGTATAACCTGTCTCTGTCAGTCACATGAGGTCTCATTTCCAGATGAAACTCGATATCTTGCAGGTAGGCCTGGATGTCGTGGCCCTCTGTGGAGTTC